CCCATTGCATGATGTTCATGGACCACCCAGGGATCTGATCCAGATCCCTGTGCTGGCCATCATATCTCGCCAGAGAGTTTTGTCGGGATCCTGCTGTTTTGAAGACCTTTGGGACAAAGAAAGTGAGAAAATGAAATGAGACATGCGACCGCTTCGTTGGTGAGGGAGAGCGGAAGTGGTGGGTTGCGGTGTTCGCTCGTTCGGTCTATGGACCGAACAACTCTCGGTGGTGACGTGGCTATTCATTGTGCACCAATATTAGCGCGTTCCATCCAATGTCGACGGATGCGTTCGCTCCTAGTCACTAAATATCTGACGTCATATTTCTAGCCTTTTCATTAATTAACCTGAAGGCTCCCCATGTGTCTTGTTCCATCAAAGTATCCATCCACCACCTGAAAAGGATAGTGATCGATGGAGAGACCGACCGTACTGTGTCATCGCCACATACGCGTTCGGTGTTGAATCTACATCTCTTCAATTCATCAAAACTAAAAAACGACACTGCATGTTCTGCGTGTTGATTTTTCAGTCCCCATAAACTTATCTGTCGACCAAGTAGCAACCAACACAAAACGGAAAATAAATTCAGACATCGATCCTTGTGGTCGATGATGGATGGATTCAGTCAGACATGTATAGCTCCACAGATATAGTCGCCAGTCGAGATCGTCCTGCAACTGTCGTGATGATACAAAAGATCACTGCACCATTCAATCGATTTATCACTCGGAGCACGACCCCTATCTGCGCTGCCCAACTGCCGGTCGATTCGGAAACGGATATCACGTCCATCCATCCATCATCCATCCAGCGCTAGGCTGCGAATATCACGTCTTGGCTGGACGTTCAACACTTGGATAGAAGCATTTCTCGGTCTTTTTCTCAGTCTACTTCTACCTGTACGTACGTATTGATTCAAGCAAAAATGTTGGAACTACTGTCCGTACACTACTCAATCAGCATTATTTACACGTCTTTTTTTGTCATTAAAGTCGTGAAGTGCTCCTACTACCAATTAGAACGGGGGGAGCCAGAAATTAAAAAGAAAGAAGAATCCCAAATATTTATATGTGCATATATAGATTCAGGCAAGCATGTGCATCTCCATCATGGTCGGTCCAGACATGGAACTGTCACACGGACCGTTACACAAGATCACTGGACCATTTTTCACCTGGACCATGACTCCACCGGTCCCAGTTGAAATAATCATACATTATACCAGTTTCTCATAGGCTTGCTATGCTACTAATCATCTGTTCCAAGAAGTTTTAATTAGCAGTTTAATTTGAACTAACAAAATGTCTTATATTTAGAAACGTCGGTAGTACTTTTAAAGTCAAACTTTGTAATATTTGACTGAGTTTATATAAACATCAACATCTTAAATATCAGACCAATACCTCGGAAATATATTTTTATATGCTATATATTTGACACTGTAGATAGAAATAACA